GGCCAGACTTCCTAATTACCCCTGATTTCTTACTAAAATTCATGGATGAAGGGAGCATGTTTGTGTGATGAATTATATAAATATGAGCCCTTTACCATAAACTTCCAAAACATGGTCCTCAGTCCTCAGAGCACTTAGATTTTTCAGAGGAAGACCCAGGATAGCTGTGTGCTGTGATTTTCCCCATGGAGGAAACAGCTTATCTAGCAGTGTGCATGGCCCACTGAGCAACTGTTCATGATCCAATAGAGCTAAACCACTTGAGTTTCTACCAGTTTTCTGGAAACATCCACAGTGCCCACTGGAGGATTTTGATCTAAAACTATCAGGTTTCATTTAATAAAGGTCACTTGAATTATTTGTATGATGTTCTGGCCATATTTACAGGATGATCTCACATTCATTACTTGAGTTTTCTTTGAGCATTTCTATTTACATCAATTTATTTGTTTCTATGTCTTTGTTTGTTGATATCCTTTCCAATTGTGTGCAATTTAATTTTAGTGTTGCATGTTCTTATAATTGCCTGAATTTTTTATCATTAAAATACTTGTATTTATTTTGTATAACACTTCATGGGTTTATTATAAGTGTATGACAACAGTGGGATTCATGATACACATATTCTTACATACAGGAAACATAATTTTATCAAATTATTTCCCCAGTATTCTCACTTTCACTCATGTACACCCTTCTCTAAGCCTCTTTCTCTACTCTACTGGTCTCATTTCTTTTACTTTACTTGCTGCATTAAAATTATTAATAAAATTAGAATTCACTGTGATATATTGCTTTGTGCACATAGTATCATTGTTTTGGTGTACTTCCACAGGACCTGCAATCCCCTTATTTTTCCTCTCTGGAACTTCTTACTTTATTCAATAATTTCTTCCTTCATGGGTCCAGTTCTTTATTTCTTAAGTGAAAGTTACCAAGAGAAATATAAATAAAAATGGGAACTCACTCATGAGTGTTTTGAATGAGGTAAAGAATTGTTTTCATGACTAACTTCCTGATAAGGTTGTAATTTTGAACTTCTCATTGGATGTAGAGAAGGCTTGAGTAAGAAATAATTTTAGTAATTTATTCTACAGGGTTAAAAAAGAAAGAGGAAATGTTTCAAGTTAGAGGATTATATTTTCCCTTCTTTTCATTTTCATTATTTTTTTAATTAGTTCAGTGGAAATAAGGTTGGTCATGCAGATGGTAAACCAGCTCTATGTAAAAACATTACTTTTAAAAAATAAATAATAATAATAATAATAATAATAATAATAAACCTCAGGTGGGCATATTTTTATGTTTTGTTTTCTTGGTATCAGGGATTGAATCCAGAGGGGCTTTATCACTGAGCCATATCCCCAGCCCCAACTGTTTTTTTTTTGGAGAGAGGATTTTGCTAAGTTTCTTAGGTCCTTGCTATGTTGCAGGGCTGGCTTTGAATTTCTGATCCTTCTGCCTCAGCCTCTCAAGCTGCTGCAATTCCAGGTATGCACCACCACAGCCAGCTTTTAGAGTTTTCTTGTTTAGCAATAATGTATGCATGATATCATACATTGTTTCTAGGAGAGATATCAATGTCAGTGATTCTACCAGGAAAGAACAACTAGCCTCTTAGAATAAGATTAGAACTCCCTGCTTCTCAATTTCTGAAGACCTGTTATGTGGCCTAATATATAATCTACTCTGACATTTAATCCATATTTAATTAAAAAGAATGTTTCTAAGCAAAAAGGCTACTATGGGTGACAGTCTGAGAAGAGCCTCATATTACATGGAACACTGATTCCCACACTGATGATCAGGGTGAGCAGTTTTTCAGTTGTCTGTTTGCATCTACTTCTCCTAAAATTATTCTTGCTGATCAACATACTGTGGAGCAAGTGGAGCTTTATACTGAATCAGATAACCACTGAAGACACATTATATATTAGCATTGAGATGCATAGAATTAGCAATTTTACTTTGTTATCAATCCAGATAGTCTTTGTCATTTTGGATAAATACAATTGCAACTCTTGATGTGAAATAACATGGCAGAATTCTTGCTCACAAACCCTTTCTACCACATGGGATGAACAATGTTCATTTCATGTGTTCACTTTATTCTTTCACTTACTTAATATGGAATATCTCACTGGGATTATCCTGTCAACCTGCAGATGTATACATGCAGCGAAGAAGGAGAGTAGTAGCTCTTCAACCTGTCATGCTATCATCCAGATGTAGCACAGGCCTCCTCTGATTCTACTTTATTGAGCAAAACAGTCCTCAGCCAAGGCACTCTTCATGGAGGCAGAGAATTATGACTGATACTCCAAAGAACCTAGAATCTTGGAAACCACGACACCACATGTGCACATGTATGTTGCAGAGTCTTATGTCCAACTAATTCCTGGACACCATTTAAGTTGCTCACCAAAGAAATGTTCATATCCTTTGATCAGAAACAACTTCAATATTCCAAGTCAAGTATTAGGATAAATAACTTCTCTGATATTTTTGTTGTTGTTTTGTGTTGTTTTGTTTTAAGGACAGGTTTATCTGTCAGTTATTGAAGCTTGCCTTCAACTTGTTAATCCCACTGGCACAGCTTCCTGAGTTTCTAGGATTACATCCATTCAGCACCACAGATGGCAAAAGAAAGTCTTCCCTGACCAAAAATGACATTTGGGCAATGTCAGTGAGAGAGCTGAATCTTAGCCATTAGATCACCTAGAGCATCTTACCATACGAATAGACTGCTGTTGAGCTTACACAAGAACCTTATGGTGGTTTTCATGGGCAATAATTAAGATTTTTTATAGCTAACTATACACTACAATGTTCACCCTATTTCCAGGAGTGAAAATACACTCACTTGATCATTTCCTCCATCTGCTTATTGTACAGAGCAAGCTCTGGATGCAGCCTATTCCTCTCTCACTCTGGCCAAATTGAATTTTTTCTCATGGGTATACCATAGTCCTGGATACAGCTGAAATACACACATTTACCAAATGTCCCTGTCCTGAGCTTCCATGTTGTGTCAGCTGTTGTTATCAGCATATGGAGATACCACATTTTTTTAGGAGTATTCATGTCATCAGATGGGCTCCAGGAAGTATACTGCAGTTATAGAGGTCCTTACAGAAATCATGGTAATATAAGAGACATTCTCCAACATCTCTGACATAAGCATACAGGCCAGGAGCCTACCCTCCCAGTGCTCTTCTGCTTCTCAATAACTCCCTGGGAATCATGAATGTTAACCCTCTTGCCTTTTATCTCAGATCCACCACAAGCCCTGAATTTGGACAATCACTCTTCAAAGCGGGGAGATAAAGGGCCCATCTAGACATATCCACAGGCCCATTGAGGAAATGTTGAGCCCAGTGAAGAGTGAGCAGATGTTAAAGTAAAAGTGTTTCTAATTGTACTCCATTAATGTTTGAAGGAAAGATCTTAGATCAGGATGTCAATAATACAATGAACACAATGAAACCTGGATTATATTGCTCTCTATGCTGATGGAGTTATAAATAAAAGTTTAATACAAAAGTGATCAAAATGTGTATCTATACAGAAATATTGAGGGACCACAAAGGTCATGCTGTGTCCTTAGTAGAATAAAGGGAAATTCAATACAATATGGAAGGGTCCCAAAAGAAAGAAATTATTCAAGAATGAATATATGCTGTGAGTTTCCAAATATAAAAGTTATATTAAAGGAAATCTGATGCATATTCAAAGAAAGAAAGTCAGTGGTTGCCTGGATGGTTATTGGAGCAGAGACGGAAGGAGCATTCCAAAAAGGCAAAGGGGGCTTTGTGTGCTGGTGTACAGTTTCCTTGGCCTGAGTGTGTTGATATTGCCAAAGGTGTGAAAATATCTCAAAATCTCTCAAAGTTTTTAATTATGTGTGTTTTATTGTCTGTTAAATATTTCATGTTAGGAAACATAAAATTAGGCTAAAGCATGAGTCACAGATATATACAATGAAGGATAAAGAGAAGAAGACACAGTTCTGGAATTCCTGGAAATAGAAAAAATGGAGGGTGGAACCACAGGATTCCCATCAGAGGTCAAATCTGAGGTGAGCATGGTTGCACGGGCTGCCTCATCACTTGAACTTCAGGGCAAAGAGACCACAGCATCCTGTTCAGCTCCTCAAGCTGAGGAGAAGCAGAAATTTCTGTTTTCATGAAAACATTTTCCTATGAACATGCTGCTGTGAATGACTCTGCAGACAGAAGACAAGAGGCTCCTAATACAAAGAAGTTCCAGGATATTAATGTGGGCCTATAGTTGTGGTTGAAAAAGCCAGAGATTAGGCCTGAGCAAAGCTGCTGGATGTTGGCCCTCCTGACATGGTAAAGGGGTTCTTGTCTTACATCCTCATAAGCCTGAGGCACTGCTCAAGCCTTGAGGCTTTTGCATTAAGACTGACAGAAATAGTCAGCCTCATCCTCAGACTGGAGTCCAGTGATTGTCAGGGAACCAGAGTTTCCAGATCTGGAGCCAAAGAAGCAAACAGGGACTCCTGAGGGTCGATTACTATTTTCATAGATGAGAAGTTTGGAGGCTATTTCTGGGAACTGCTGACACCAGCTTACATAATAGCCATCTCCAATATTGTTGCTGCTTCCAGTGCAAGAGATGGTGACCCTCTGTCCTGGAGTCCCAGACAGTGAGGGCTGCTGAGTCGGCACAGATTGGGCCCAGGACCCTGGAAGTGATAAAATCATGGAGAGTATAATTTTTGTCTTGAAACAAGAGTTGAATCAGGGTCCATATCAGAGGACTCCCACACCCTATCCCTCCTTCATATCATGTCACTTGTGCACTGAACAGTGAATGTGAAGAGGAGATAGGACCAGGCCATGGTGAAGGTCATCCTGAGCTCTGCCTTCTTTTCTGTTGCTGAGCAGAGGTTCCTCCAAGTCTCCCCCTTGCCCTCTTCATACTCTGAGAAGGAGAGGGACAATCTGCAAATTAGATTCCTCCCTGTTTTCAGTCTCCTGTACATAAAGATGCCAAGTGGATGTGCAGGGGTGGAGTTGTGTTGCTTTGGGTGGTGTGGGAGTTCACAGCTGTGAGGACTAACCTGAGAGTATTAGGCAGGGCCGGTTGTTCATAATAGTTCTGATTACTTTCTGACTCCTCTTTATTGATCTGCAGTGGCCCCTATTGTCCAAGCCCATACACATCATCCTGTGACATTGTGATCAGAACCCCTGAAACAGTCATAAAATTGCACTGCATCCCCACTGTCTCTGCCTAGTGTCCAGTACAATGAGCCCCTTCTGTGGCCTCCTTATTACCTCAGGATGTCCATCTTGCTTTCCTCATACTCCACATAGTGAATTTATGCATACCTCACTTGACTCTTTCCTGGACAAGACTAAGGTGGTGTCTTTAATATAAATTTGTCTTAAATCAAAATTAAGCATGTGAACATGAAGTCTCTGGTTTTATTAGCTTGAAGGGTACCATCTAGTTTATTATACACAACATAAAAACTTTGTTCCAAAGGTTCTATCACATAGTACTTTGTGAGGAACATCTTCCAAATGCCATTTGGAAGATACACATATGCGTGTTTTCAAGCTTTCTCAGTTCACATGTTTGTAACCCTTATTGTCAGCAAGTGAGAATGAGAGTTGTGACTATGAGTCCATCACAGCCATACAGCTTCAGCTACCATTGGCTACATGGAATGCCACAGGAACTGTAGATCCTGAAAGGACTCAGACAGCAGGACTCAAGAATGTTTTCAGACATGGATAGAAATGCACTGTTTTAGGCAATGACAGGGGTAGAGATGGTCTGGACATGAATATCAATCTTTTGTTAAAATTTGCCCAGTAGGTTTCAGTATATTTTACAAGGGTCCCTGTGATTGCAGCTGAGGAAGTAAATCATATTCTGAATTTTTAAAAAAATTTTATTTAAATAAACATCATTATTGTTGTATGTATATAAGTGACTACATGACCAATGTGATTCTGCAACCTGTACATTCAGAAAAATGAGAAATCATACCCCATCTGATTCAAATGTATGATATGTCAAGATCATTGTACTGTCAAATGTAACTAATTAAAACAAATAAAAAAGAATATCAAATACAAAATCTTTTATTTTATTTTTAAATTGTTCTTATTAGTTATAGATGACAGTAGATGGTATTTTGACATATTACACAAATGTGGATTATAACTTCCCATTTTTCTGGTTGTACATGATATAGATTTACATTGATCATATATTTATATATGCGCATAGGAAAATATATCTGATTTATTCTACTATCTTTTTTATTCCTATTCCCCATCCCTTTCCTTCATTACCCTCTGTCTTATCCAAAGTACTTCTATTCATCTTTAAGTCCTGCCCTTATTTGAGTTAACACCCACTTTTTAGAGAAAACATTCAGC